ATAACACCCCAGTTTATTTTTCTATTTTTAGTAGAGATGGTGTCTCCCTCTTGCTCAGGCTGGTTTTGAACTCCTGAGCTCAAGCAATCCACCCATCTCGGCCTCCCAGAGTGCTAGGATTATAGGTGTGAGCCACTGTGTCCAGCCTACTTCTCAAATTCTTAAGTTTCACATTTTATAATTTCAGACAGGATTGAGAATTTGTACTCAAAACTATGCATGGCTGAGTGCCATGGCTTATGTCTATAATCCTCGCACTCTGGGAAGCCGGGGCAGGAGCATGCCCAGAAAAATTAGCTGGGCCTGGTGACACCTGTAGTCTCAGCCACTGGGGAAGATGAGGTACCATGTTTCCCCGAAAATCAGACACTGTCTTATATGTATTTTTTCTCAAGAAGACACACTAGGGCTTATTTTCAGGGAATGTCTTATTTTTATTATGTATAATACAACAACCTACATTTATTCAAATACAGTTAAGTCATCTTCTTCTGGAACCTGACCAGGGGAGCAGACCTTGGTGGTGGGCCTGGCACTAGTGGGATGCGTGAACTCCTTTCCCCTAGCCATTCGCACATGTGCAATAGGATGCCTGTGACCATGGTTACCACATGCGCACCCGCACAAGTGCAAAGGGCTGGGAGAAAGGAGCTGTGGCAGATAAAAGATACTCCAGTCTTCCTTACCTGCACCGAAATGCCTATGTATCTGCATAGCCACGCCCATCACTAGGTCATATTATCCGGTGGGGCTTATATTTAACAAATGCATAGAAATCCTGCTAGGGCTTATTTTGGGGGCAGGTCTTATTTTCGGGGAAACACAGTAGGAGGACTGCTTGAACCCAGAAATTTGAGGCTGCAGAGAGCTATCATAATGCCACTGAACTCCAGCCTGGGTAACAGCACAAAATCCTATCTCAAAAAACCAAACCAAAACAACAACAACGAAAAACACAATTTGAATCACACCTCATTTCATCTCTATTCAAGTCTAATGGCTGGAGCCAAATGATTTTTTTCTTTTTTTGCAGTTTTTGGCCGGGGCTGGGTTTGAACCTGCCACCTCCTGCATACGGGGCTGGCGCCCTATGCCTTTGAGCCACAGGCGCTGCCCTTAAATGATTTTTTCTTGAGACAATAGCCAAAACCTTGACTCGAAATTATTGTGTAGATATGAATATAGACACTGATGATTTGGAGAACATCAGTGGCTATCATGAGATTGAACTTGAAAGAATCCTATATTTGGTAGAAAGTTCTGGAAACAAGAAAGGAGAAGGCCAGCTTATTGGAATTTGTTGAAGAGATTAATTTCTTTGTGATTTCCAGAAGAATACCAAGAAAGGGAGAGACATGGAAGCTGGACAGCAAAGTTCCTGCATTTCTAAAAAACTGAAACCTTTTCTTGGAGGGGGAGGAGCTATGGGAGCCAGTATGACCAGGGTCCTGCTATGGAGAACATTCCTATTGCCTCACGTCCTGACACTTCACTTGATACCTGGGCTAACCTGTTGGGATACACTTCAGGAAAATGGGGCTGTTCAGGATAAGAGCAATTAATTATCAGAGGCTTGGTATATTTCTCGGGAAAAGATGTTTGCGATCTGGCTAGGACATACAAGCAAACGGCCCCGCAGGCTGAGCTTCTGGGCATTGCTGACCTGTTTTATTCTCCTACTGATTCTGGCAATGTCAGTGCAGTAAATCTTGTAGTCTCACCTGTTCTGCCTGTTGGCACACTGTCTGGAAGGGGACTAGGAAGAGGTGGGGACACTCACTCTCTCAGTGCCCTGAGTTGTTGTCATGGGTTCAGCCCCAGTCCCATCTGGTGTTTCACCAAAACACCAATCACCTCCCCAAAATGTACTTGTAGCAGATGCTGTTGGTGCCCTAAGCAGATCCTCTTTATCAGCTACTGAGCATTTTGACTGTCAACAGCACACACCAGCACCCATATCAGTATTGTCCTTGGCTAATGGGAGCTACCTACCCAAGGGGTGTCTAAGAGGTTCCAATCTGCTTCTTCCCTAGGAATCATTCAATTCTTCAAGGAGACCTGATTCCTTTGTAATGGAGAATGGTATTCAGAATCCAAGCTCTGGGCTCAGTGCCCACAGCACAGTGATTATGGCACCAGCCACATACACCGAGGGTGGAAGGTTTGAACCTGACCCGGGCCAGCTAAAAACAGTGACAACTGCAACAAAAAATAGCCGGCATTGTGGTGGGTGCCTGTGGTCCCAGCTGCTTGGGAGGCTTAGGCATGAGAATCACTTAAGCCCAAGAGTTTGAGGTTGCTGTGAGCTCTAACACCATGGCACTCTAACAAGGGCAACATGAGGAGACTCTGTCTCAACAATAACAACAAAGGAAAGAAACTAAGGTCTGGGTACCGGATGTGCTCATTTCTACTGGGGAATGACTGCTTCTAGGCTCTCTCAGTGGACAGAGTTAGGAACTATATGCATGGATACTAACTCAAGCATACATAGATACATGTATACTCATTTCTGACTCTGTCTTTATACATATACAGTAGAACCTGTAAGTTGGCCACCCAAGGGACTGTAACAAACTGGTCCACATACAGAGTGGTTAACATCAGGAACTAGGACTACTGTATTGATATGTACGTGTGGTAGGTGTCCAGTCCACACACATTAGGTCAACTTAAGGAGGTGGTCAATGTAGGGAGGTGGTCAACTATGGAGGTTCTACTGTATTTAAACTACCCATGAGATTTTACGGCTAACCTTGGCCTCTGGTCTAGCAACACTGAGTCTAGTCTTGCCTTCATCCCTTTCCTCATTTGTAAATTTCTCAGACAGCGAAATGGCTCTCATCATCTACAGTACATTTACTTATTTGTTCATCCCTGGTATGTATATAAAGCAATTTCATAATTGCTAACCCAACCCCAAGGAGAAACAAATTTACTAACTAGAGTACAATGTCTGTGCACCGTGCTTTTGCTGTCTTTAGCCTTCTGCTTCCAGTCAAAATAAATATTTTCCAAAGTTACTTAGTTTGGTGACATTCTTCCTCACGGAGGAGGGTCTTCAAGGTGATTCATTTGGAACAAAGATTCATCTGTCATAGTCTGCATTCCATTGTAAGTACCTCTCACAACCTGGAAAAACAGTTTAAAACTTACATGGAGTAAAATCCACTCATTGTGATATATACTTTTATAGGCTTTAACAAATATTGTGAGTTATGTACCGCCACTACAGAATCTATATAGAACAGTCCCATCACCCCTAAAACGCCCTCACATTGCTCCTTTATAGTGAATCCCTACCCACAAACCCAATTTCTGAGAACCACTGATCTATTTTCCTTCTCTACAGTTTTTCCTTTTTAAGAATGTCATACAAAAGATATTGTACAGTATATGGTCTTTTGTGTCTGGTTTCCTTCAGTTATCATAATGATTCTGAAGTTGATCCATGTGGTCTTATGGGTCAGTAGTTACTTTGCTTCTATTATGGAGTATTATTTCATTGTGCAGATATCATACAATTTGCTTAAACGTTAACATGTTGATGGATATTCCGGCTGTTTCCCATTTTTACTATTATGAACAAAGTAGATAAGCATATTCACATACAGGTTTTTGTGTGAACATATGTTGTAATTTCCCTCGAGTGGGAGTGGGATTGCTGGATCATATGGTACACAAATGTTCCATTTTATAAGAAATTTCCAGCTTCCCAAAGGGGCTGTGCTATTTTGCATTCTGATGAGCAATTGTGAGAGTTCCAATAGTTCTATATACTTGTGAACATTTGGTATGGTCTACTTTAAACATTTTTGCTATTGCAGTAGGTATACAGTGAGAGCTAGTATTCTTCCTGCTGTTATATCTGTTGAAATAATTATTTCCAAGGTTGGAAATTGTGTGGTCTTATGGAATAAACTAGTAGGCGAGAGGCTGTGAGGCAGAGTGGAAAGTGGTTAATCATCAAAAGACAAATGAACCTGGGTTGAAATCCCAGTGCTTTTACATCTAACTACAGCACAACCCTAGCAAGCCCTTTAACCTCTGGACTTCACTAATGTCATCTGCTAAGTGGGAATTAAAAAATAGCTTCTTTAAGGATTTCTATGAGGATTAGGGACAACGCAAACAAAGTGTCAGGCTGTATTAGATCCTAAACAAGCAGTGATGTTTAGGATGAGTCCTTGGTATTACACAGCTAGCAACTATGGCACCCAGGGCTTCCAATGCAATATAATCAAACTGGCATGAGATTCTAGAGTTCAGGGGACAATGTGTACTCTGCTGGGGGAGTAACGATGTTAAATGTTGACAACCCCAACGGGCCAGGGAGCCAGACTTGAGGTTATGGCACGTCCTTCCTTTAATAGTCCAGTGAAGCGTGACTTGTGAATGTCACTTTGTTGCTCTTTCAGTAGCCAGTGCAGTATTTAGGGCGGCTCAATAATCCAGAACTAACACACACACAGGAGAAAAACCAATTCAGTAACATCATTTCCTTCCTTACTGTTAGCTTCTTGCTTTTTCTGGCTCACTGAATACCAACACAATTGACTAATAAATCTTTTGACATTTTTTTTCTTTAAAGAATACATTTTCATGTCTGGACAAGGGCCATTACCTTCCCTGACTTCTTTAGGAATAATGGGTGCGTTCTTCACTCACGTACATCGATTTTCAGGCCAAAGTTTTCATGCAGTCAGTGGAAGGCGGTGTGGCTTGGTGGGAAAAGTAGAGGTCGAGGACTCAGGTCATCTGATTCTGGTCCTTACCACCATTTCTGCAACTAAATGAAGTGGGCTGTGGCTGTGTCTGTTTTCTCTTTTGTATAGCGCATCAAGCCAAGTCTTGCCTTGGGTGTGAGTGAGCTTTGCTCCCACTTACGGTAAGCAGTGACCGGCAGGACCTGGGGCGCGTCTGGGTGCTCAGCCAGGGATTCATCTGCACAAAATGAGTAACAGCGCTTGCAGCACCGCGCTGGGACTGCAGGAATCCAGCGTCTCGGTTGCCCGGGGAACCGGGCGGTGCGCTTTCCGGCGCCGTCGTGGCGCGTCGCGTCGCGTCGCGTCGCAGCCATCATGGCGGAAGCCGTCTGGAGCGCTGATGCTGGAGAGGCCGTATACCGTTCTCGGGACCCCGTGCGCAACTTGCGCCTCCGGTAGTTGCACAGCCCCCTATGCTTTTATGCCCTCAGATAATTCGACCCTGAACCTCTGTTCTGAGACTCTCACTTCCGCTTACAAACCAGACCCCTTCCTCTCTCCGGTCTCTCTGCATGTCTAGACACTACTCGTATCCTTATGGGATGAGCGCACCTTCCGTAAACACCCACGTCCTTTCTCCTTTCAGGTCCTTATTGCTTCCAAATTCCTCAGAGCCCTGTGTCTCCAGTACATCCCCTCACCCACCCTTCCCCTTGAAACCCTGCGCCCCACCCACCTCTGTTGGCTGCCCCAGCACACCTTGGCAACCCCACCTCTTCTGTGTTTTGTTTTCCCCGTCCTTGCTTTGTCTGCGTCTCCTGATTGTGCCTTGTAACGCATACTTTGGCCTTCTCTTTCCTTGACAGAGTTCACCTTCAAAGAATCACCTCAGGCAACTTTCTTCATTATCAGCCTGCTGCCCAGTCCGGGACAGACCTCATAGACTTGGCCACTTTCAGGCCTCAGCCAATTGCGAGTGGGTGTTTTGGTAGTGATGCTGCCTCCTGAGGATTTTGGGGAAAGGCCTAGGGCAGTAGAGTTACTCTTAAGGCAGAGGAGACCCAGGTCTGTGGTCTTAAGAGAAACCTGCACCTTTTTCAGAGGAAGAATGGGAGGTATAAAGAGGTTGAATTCTTTGCCTAAGATCACACAACTGATAGATGTTGGAGCCAGGATTTGAACCCAGGCAATCTTAACTACTACTTTATGTTGTGTCTGAAAATTGATTAAGACAGGATTCCTACTATCAAGATACTGATAAAATTGTGGCCAAATATAGTGAAAGAACAAATACCATACTTTTAATATGCTGTAAATTTGGCGACCTAAATACCATTTGTGGCAATTTTTGTCTAAGAGAAAATAGGCTCCAAACTCTCAATACACATGCAAGCACTTTAAGATTGGATCGTGTGATCGGCACACTTAACAGCCCTGACTCAAGCATTACAAAAAGCTATCCATGTAACAAAGCATTGTACCTCCGTAATATTTTGATATTAAAAAAAAGGATTGGAGGCTACTTGAAAACCGTGTATATAAACATGAACAGTAATCTGTGGTTTTCCTTATCTAAAAGCCAAAGAGTGAGGAAGAGAGAACGAGGTACTGTTTTTAGGACACTAGTCTATGTTTTTGTTGTTTCTCTTTCTATTCATATTTCTGGGTAAGAGTGTGGGCTGGTGGGTTGTGAAGCATGAATCCCTGAAAAAGGCATACTAAGCCAGAAGTGTATTAGATTTGGTTCTTTACAAAATCACTTTTTTGCCTTCTCTACTCTCCTGACACTTGGTCTCCTAACTTGCTGTGTTTATGATTGGATGTATATGGCTTCAAGAATAGTAAAAGATGTCAGGGTTCTTTTCTAGCAAATGCAGACACTTGGGATTGAGGAAGGGCTGGCTAAATTTTAGTTCCTAACAAGTACGTTAAATATTTTCTGGAAGGCAGGACTACCTTTTATACAAATTAGAAATGATTAAGACTTCTTGAGTCCTAATCTTGGCTTCAACTCCAACTAATTTTCATATATTGTGGAATATATCCATGGCCTCTCTAGCTTTGGTCTAGATTGAGTGCTCAACAAATTACTGAACTCCAGCTGGTTTTGTCATAAACGTGAGAGTAAGGACTTTGGTTATTATCAGTCACAGAGCAAGAAGTGAGGCTGGTTTTGGCTCAAGCATTTGACTTACTCTCTTGTCTTTGGAGGTGGACACCGCCTGGATGAAGATGAAGAGGAGGAGGTTGTGATTGGGTGGCAAGAGAAGCTCTTTAGCCAGGTAAGCCAGTGTCTCTTGTCTGCTCACTCTACCTTTTCCTGGTCTACCCTCACTTGGCTGGTGATAGATACTGCCAAGCTGATTTCCAGAAAGCTTATAACAGTTAATACTTTCCCCTCTTGTGTTTATAGAGGCAATATAATACAGTGTCACTACTCAGTTTTATGATCCTGAATAAGGGACGTTTCACCTCTGGGCTTTGTGCCATCTGTAATAGCAGAGCTGGATTAGACCCTTGCTCTGGTTCCTTTTAGCTCTAACAGCCTTGGATCCCTTTGCCCTGTTGGTTATGAAAATGTGTCAAATAGAATCAGCTCTGTAGAACTGATTTGATTAAGTAGTTAGAGAAACAAAAATTTGAAGTATTCTTTTTTTTTTTTAAATTTGAAGTATTCTTAGTATGTCTCTGTTTCCTTGTGGTGACCTCAGTTTGAAGTAGATGTATACCAGAATGAAGCAGCTTGTCAGAGTCCTTTGGATCATCAGTATCATCAAGAGATCCTGAAGCTGGAGAATTCAGGTGGCAGGAAGAATCGCCGAATCTTTACCTACACCGACTCTGATAGATACACCAATTTGGAGGAGGTATTATTCTTTCCGAGGTCCCATAGTTTCCTTCTTTGCCTTCCCTGGTTTTCTGGCCTCATTGGGTTTGGTATGTCAGATAAGAAGCCTATAAAAGGGAGGCAGGTAGCTTTTCTAGAAACTGCTGTAAGCTGCTGGCAGCCAAGCTGGACAAAAGCAGGCATGATCTGTAATTCATGTGGCTGCTGTTCCCTCTTTGCTTGGTGGAGGGTGTGGGACAGCTTGCAGTGTGCGTACAAGGAGAAGTAGCCCCTGGGTTTGATTTACTCCGTGTATCATCATGAGATAAGACAGCTGGTGGAGTCTAGAATAAGCTGGATGCAGTTCGTCAGGGGATTCAGCCCAAACTCTGAAGATCTAGGTTTGGAGAGGAATTCAGTACACCTATAAGAATGGCTTATGTCCTCAGTTTGCCTTTGCCACCACGCTCTTGTGGACTTACTTTACATTTACTTCATCCACTGCGTATGTTGTGTCCTGTCAGTAAGATTTTAAACTCCTCAAGGGTAGAGCCTATATTTTCTGATTTTTGTCTTTGATACTGTGAATCTGAAGGAGTAGGTGTTCCGTGAATGTCTTGTAAGATTGGCATGTTTTCAGTAGGAGAGCTGTGGGTTGTTAGCATATAAAACTTGAGTTGTCTGTTTTGGAAAGGCAAATAAAAATGTACTTAGCGTTCAGTTATCATGGGAGGATTTTCCACAAAATGCTTATATCCCGTTTTCCAAATACTTAGTTAATTTCCCCATCTACCAGGTAAAGTAACCCAGCTTTTTGTGTTCAGGGAATATAGACTGATTTTAATATTAGCATAAATCATTTCTCAAATCCTAGGGCAGTCCAAGATGTGGTAGTTTCTTCTTGGGTGGTTTGTGCCACTGTTCCCCCCATTAACAGGTATTGTGATTCTGCCGGTTAGGCTCAGGTCCTGGAGGAGTTTTTCAGAAGGGAGACTTTCCTATAAGTACTCAGCCCCATGTGGCCCTGATGAGGTGGCTCACATAGGGCTCCTCTCTGTTCTCAGCACTGTCAGAAAATGACCACTGCAGCCAGTGAGGTCCCATCATTCTTGGTTGAACGAATGGCAAATGTCAGGCGGCGACGGCAGGACAGAAGAGGCATGTGAGTACAAGTATTATAGGGCAGTGGGAGGGGGCCCTTGTGAGGTCAGAGTTCTCAGTAAGTTCCCTGACGGGAGCTTTTTATTTTCTAAACTTAGAAACTTTGGAATTTTTTTATCAGTGGTCATATACAGTATGTATTACTTTATAATTAATTTAAAAAATCAATTTAAAGATGTAAAATGTCTTCCTCACCCTTCATGTGGATATTTTTCCAAAATGCTCCATGGAGAGGGAAGGGGTATCATCTCTGTTTGCTAAGTATTTTGGCTCTTAAAGCAATATGTCCGCCAACTCAAGCATCCCATCCTGCAGTGGACCTCCACTGGGGTGTGTTCCCTCTGGTCAGGCTCTTCAGGGGGTGCCAGAGAAAGGACCCTTCCTGTGGTGTTTCCCAGGGAGGGCGGCATCCTCAAGTCACGCATCGTCACTTGGGAACCGTCAGAGGAGTTCGTCAGGAACAGCCATGTCATTAACACCCCTCTTCAGACCATGTACATCATGGCAGACCTGGGGCCCTATGGAAAGTGAGTGACACATTTCCCTGCCAACTCAGATCCTCATCTTCTCACTAGCCGCTGCCTTTCTGTACCCTCCTCCCAGGGCCTATGGGAGGGAGGGACGTTTTCTTCCTTTTCTTCTTAGCCGTGCTCAGAAGAAAGTCTTTTACTATGGTAGTTCTCACTGCAGCCTCTGTCCTCTCCCCTGAAGTAGGCTGTCTCTTCCTCTTTCCTTGAAGGACCAGTGAACCTTGGTGTTGATTTCCTGATTTCTAGGCTTGGCTATAAGAAGTATGAACATGTCCTCTGTACTCTGAAAGTGGACAGCAATGGTGTGATCACAGTTAAACCTGACTTCACGGGCCTCAAAGCACCCTACAGGTGAGGAGCAGACGAGAGGGACAGTGGGGATTGGGATTCCCTACCTTGGCTTTACTTCTTGTTCTTAGTTGAGGAGATTCTCAGAAAGCCCATCACCTGTTCTAACTTTTAAATTCCCAGGCAGTGGTTTATATTCTTTTCTGGGTCATAGGGCCTTAGAAAACTGGGGGCCCTGTTCTCAGAAAAAGTGCAGCTACACCATTTGAAAGTGCAGTTTGGTGAAAATGATTCTCTGTGCTGCTGAATGTAGGGACTGACCAGAACAGATTGAGATGAACTCAGCCAGGTCTTTTTCTCTGTACTAACTATTCCTCATCTCTGTTTCTTGGAACAACAGCACTGTAAATTATACATGATTTAGCCCAACCTATCCGTTTTTCAAGTGAGAGAACTGCGTGCCAGAATGTTGTACCTTTGAGTTTTACTGTGACTTAGGCAGAAATGCGCCTGGAACCTATACTTTCTAGGTTCTAGTCTAGTCAGGGGCCCTTTCAGCTTTACCATTTTGTTTTCCTCTCCTGGCCATCATTATGGCCATTTGTGTCATCGTGTACTCCAAGTAAGGTGTAAGGCCAGTGATGGCTCGTCCCTGGCTAGCTCTGAAGGGCCTCATCTCTTACTGTCAGATTAGTTCTTTTGTGGCTTTGACCTTACAGAATCGAGACAGAGGGGGAGAAGCAGGAGCTGTGGAAGTACACGATCGACAACGTGTCCTCCCTCGCACAGCCAGAGGAGGAGGAGCGGGAACAGCGAGTGTTCAAGGATGTAAGAGCAAGTTCACTCTGAGTACAAAGATGAGACTTAGTGCCTGGAGCTGAGACCATGTCTGAGCTTGCTGTCAGCTGTTACTAGGGAACAGCCCTCCACAGCCTCTTCTGACCTAGGAAGCTTTGCTGGCATATCAGACAGAAGTTTTTGATCCATATGATAATAATAACATTGACCATTTATTTGAGCATTTACCATGCTCTGTGCTAGGCCTTACTTCATGTACCTTATTTCCCTCAGACCTCACAACAACCTTTTCAGGTAAATACTTTTATTATTACCATTTTATAAATGAAGAAACTGAGATTGAGAAGCTTAGTAGTCTGCCCAAGGTGACACAGCTTGTAAGTGCAAGGGTCAGGATTTGGGCCCAGACCAGCTGACTCCAGAGCCTCTGTGCTTCACTTTAAAATGACAGTAATGGCTCAGTGCCCATAGCACAGTGGTTACAGTGCTGGTCTCATACACTGAGGCTGGTGGGTTTGAACCCAGCCTGGGCCAGCTAAACAGCAATGACAACTGCAACAAAAAAATAGTCGGGTGTTGTGGCGGGCTCCTGTAGTCCCAGCTACGTGGGAGGCTGAGGCAAGAGAATCGCTTAAGCCCAAGAGTTTGAGGTTGCTGTGAGCTGTGACGATATGGCACTCTACTGTGGGCAACATAGTGAGGCTCTGTCTCAAAAAAAAAAAAATTAAAAATAAAAATGACAGTGGACGGGATACTTAGTCCTTTAGCTCTTGGTGGCCTTCGCCCTTATTGCTTCTTTTCTCCCTCCCATTCAGAACTGAGCCTGGTCTGGCTTGGGCTGCATCTTGAGTTTTGGTTTGGCTTATTTCCTCAGCTTTATGGCCGGCACAAGGAGTATCTCAGCAGCCTTGTGGGCACGGACTTTGAGATGGTGAGTAGCTTGGCATCCTGCAGCAACTGAGAGCTGTGTTTAACCAGAGTATTCTGACTCTGGATGAGTTACAGGGCCTTTTAAGGGTCTCCAAGATCTACTCTTTAGTGAAAAAAGGAAATCAAAGAATAGCATATAGCGTATAGTCCTAGTTATGTGTTTTGAAACATTGGGGGTGGCTTCTCTGGGGAGCAGGTGGTTTGGGAGGTGGTAGGTGGACAGTGGGTGGTGGGAGGGATATGTCAGGGATTTTTCCTTTTATTTCCCAAGTTTAGGTAGTGGTACTATATTCATGTGTGACTTTATAATTAATTTAATAAATATAAAGATGAAAAGTGTCTTCTTTACTCTTCATGTGGATATTTTTCCAAAATTTCCTAGAGAGAGGGAATGGGTGTCATTTCTGTTTATCACGTATTTTGGCTCTTAAACAAAACATAACAAAACAAAACAAATCCAAGTCATTTATTCTGTGGTCCTGTTCTTTTTTCCCCCTCATTCCAAGAGTTCCATTTCTAGATCTGGAAACAAGGGTAGGATTACCTACTGGTCTCCTTCCCTCTCTTTAAAAAATTAACTTTTATTTTCATATTACATAAGCAACAAATATTCAGTGGTAAAAAGTTAGATAAGACAAATACACAAATAATTAAAAAGGAAAACTCCCAAGTTTCTTGACCTCAGCCATCTGAGGAGAACAGGGATTTGGGGCTTCCCATTGTAAGCCAAAGGGCGGCTTTTGTGCCTGATTTCTGCATTGCCCTCACTGTCATTTAGGTTATATCCTTTCCTCTATGTTGTGAATTTTAGAAATGAAGGAAATGAACCTGTGAAGTGTTGGGGTGGCAGTGAGGAAGTGCAGCAGACCCACGGCCTGACGTTCAGTGTCAAGTGTTGGGATGGCAGTGAGGAAATGCAGCAGACCCAGGGAGTGTTGGGGTGGGGGTGAGGACGTGCAATAGACCCAGGGAGTGTTGGGGTGGCGGTGAGGAAGTGCAGTAGACTCAGGGTCTGACGTTCAGTGTCAGGTCTTCCACAGGTCTATGGGCAGGGCTGGGGAGAAGCCCTACTTCTGGCCCAGCCTCCTGATCTGTGCTCACTTGTCTCCACTTTAGCCAGTCCCAGGCACCCTCCGGCTCTTTGTAAATGGAGAAGTAGGTAAGTATCTTGCCATACAGAGATCTCTTGATGCTTAGGCAGGTGCCCAGATGGAGCTATGAGTAATCTACCCTACTCTGATGGAGGCCTTGGGTTGTCTGCAGTATTTCGGAAACTCAGCGATGAGTCTTGGAAACCTAGAGGGTTTCTGGCCCATGAAAGACTTGTTCTCAAAGCCTGTGGGCCTCTCAGGACTGGGTTGAGTGCTGAGGGTGGTAGGGGAATAGGCTAAAAGTTTCCTGTTTTCTCTCCTAGTTTCAGCCCAAGGCTATGAGTATGACAATCTCTATGTCCACTTCTTTGTGGAATTGCCAAACACTAGTAAGTAATATTCTTAAGTCTCTCTTTTTGTACCCATTCAGATACTTCTAGAGGCGTTAAGTCAGCCTTCCTTCCCCACTCCTCTCCTGAAACATTACTACTCTTTTCAAGGATATAGATCACGTCTGCTTTGCCAAATCCAGTGGTGACTTCTCTGCTTTCACCTTACTTGCCCTCTCTGAAGCACCTGACACAGCATACTTTGCTTTGTCAAACACTTGTCTTAGCTTCTGGCTTTACACACCTCTCTTCCCTCTCACTGGTGGCTCAACAGTCTCCTTGGCTGATTCCTCCTCTTCTGCTGATCTTAAACTAATAGAGCATCCAAGCCTGAGCCTAGGCCTTCAGTTATTTTCTATCTACAGTCTTCCTAGGAGATACCATCCATCCCTGGCTCAGATACCATCCACTTGTCTCAGACTCCCAGATTTCCATCTCTAGCCTCTTCCTTGACCTCCAGACTCAAATCCAATTACCTCTTTGTCATTTCTGCTGAATGGTACCAAAAAGAACGCTTGATTCCTTTCCTTCCCTCCGGTCTCTTTTCCCTGGTCTTCCCCATCCTAGCAGAATGGCAGCATCACCCACTTAGTCTGATGCCCAAAACCTAAGAGACGTCTTCGACTCCTCACTTTCTCTAGCTCCCCATAGCTGGCCAGGCCATCAGCAGTTCCTGTCAGCTCTGTTTTTGGAAGCTGTCCTGAATTTGTCTGTTCTCTCTAGCACCCTACACCAAGCCCCCACCATCTCATGGCTGGGCCAGTGTGGTCAGCTTCTGACTTATCCTCTTGCTTCCTCTCCTACTCTTTCTTTGCAGTTCATTTGCCACATATACCATAGCCAATTTGAGTTTTTAAAAATGTAAATCAGTTGTGTTCCTTTTGAGCTGAAAACCTCTACAGCTTCCCCTCCCACGAAGAGTAAAATCTAAACTCCATACGCTGAATGAGCAGGCCCAGGCATATCTCTTCCTTACAATATTCCAGTCACTCTTTGCAACCAAGGTCTTTCCCACCTTAGAGCTTTTTGTGGACCATTTCCTTTGTCTGAAACCCTTTCTGCCATATCCTTTGCTTAGCTGGTTCTTCCTGAGTTTGGGTCTCAGTATGTGTCACTTCTCTCCCCACGCAGTCTAAGTGAGCCTCCAAATCACTCAGTCTCTTCCCTGTTTTATTTTTAGTCAGCACTTACCACCACCTGATAGTCTCTTATTGGTTTGTTTATTGTCTGTGTACCCCACCTTGCCCCCCATGTTACCTCCATAGAGAGAGGGATCTTTTCTATCTAGTTACCAAGATGTCCCCCAAATAATACAGGCTCCCAGTAAATGGTAAATGAATGATTGAGTGTGTGAATGAGGGAATGAGTAAATGAATAGAGAAACTTTGTCTTTTTCTCAACCACTTGCTCTCCTCCCAGGTGAGCTTACTATATCTGGTCTTTGGCTTTCAGATTGGTCAAGCCCAGCATTCCAGCAGCTCTCGGGAATAACACAGACCTGTGCCACCAAGTCCCTGGGAATGGTATGGAGGATGAGAGAGGGATCCCCTCTCCTGGGGTGCCCTTTGAGACTTTCTCAGGCCAACTGGCACATGCTATGGGGAGGATTTCAGAGCTGGGTCTGCTAATTCTGTGTGGGCTCTGAGGGGCTGCCTGGTCCTCTCTCTGTCTTTTTAAGAATGGCGCAGCTTGGATTTGGGTATCCCTTCACTTCTTAATCTCTTATTTCCCATCTGGGATCGTAGTTTTTCTTTGTCCCTTGTGAAAGTGAGTTGTCACTGGCCACAGGGAGAATAATCCAACCCCAGCATATGATATTGTGGATAAAGGGACAGTCTTCTTTTTTAGGACCAGGTGGCTTACTTTTGCTACCCATTCACATTTGAAGCCCTCTTCCTCCATGGAGAAGAGTCTGCTGGTGAGTAGCTCAGCAGTCCATCCTGGGCCTTGGTTCTCCCAGCCAGCGCCATCTCTTGGTGAAGGCCTCCTGTGACCTGGCTGCCTCTCGCACTTGCTCCCAGATGCTCTCCTGGAGTGGCCAGTGCTCTACTGTGAGGTCCTCTCCCTGGACTTCTGGCAGAGGTACCGTGTGGAAGGCTACGGGGCTGTGGTGCTACCTGTCACCCCAGGTAACCTCTTGTCCCTATCTTTCTTGTGATTCATGTGCCCTAGGTCCTGGAAACAAGACTAACCCTTCCAAAAGATTTGAATGCTTCTGGCAAGAAGTAGGGATATTCAGAAATTGGAAGGACGCATTTAAAACAGTGAACATGTAAAACATTTAACTTGAAAGATTTCTCACTCCTTTGAGGAATCTCTTCCCCCTGTGTTAAAGACAGCTAAGTAGAACTGGAACTCCTTTCCTGAAGCCCAGCAGCCTGACAGTCTCTGTGGTGTGCTCTGTGCTCCTCTGATGGCACTTACTAAAGCCTTGAGGGAGAAGCTGTGTGGTAAAACAGGCTCTCAGCATGTATGCATCATATGAAGAGGTGTTCATTTTGAAATAAAATTGACTGTCTTTGATTATGTGCAGGGATTATGGTAAATGCTTCTCATGTAATTCTTCCAACCATTCTGTGAGGTGTGAGTTGTATTATTACTTCTATTTTACCAGTAGAAAAAAATTAATTTTTTTAATTAAAAAATTACTTCTTTATTACCTCTCTTCTCTTCTTAAGAGAATGAGGCTCAGAAAGGTTAAGAAACCTGTTCTGGGTATACAGGCGATAACTGGCAGAGCTGAGATTTATTGTTTAGCTGGCCTGGGCTGGGTTCGAACTCACCAGCCTCAGTGTATGTGGCTGGTGCCATAACCACTGTGCTATGAGCATCGAACTGCAGGGCCAAAATTTGAATTCCTATCCAACTGATTTCCAAACAAGTGCTCTTAACCACCCTGGGACCTTCACCTAGAGCCAGATTGTCACCAGACTGGGTGTTTTAGCAGTGTCTCTAAGCCTGTGTCATTGCTGGGGACTCATGGAGGGTTGGCATGCCCTTTTTGCCCTTTCTGGTCCCAGCCCCCTTCTTCTTTCCTCGTGTACAGGCTCACATACCCTGACAGTCTCCACATGGAGACCCATGGAGCTTGGCACAGTGGCTGAGCTGAGGAGGTTTTTCATTGGTGGTTCTCTGGAGCTGGAAGATCTCTCCTATGTGCGGATACCAGGAACCTTCAAGGTGACTTTTTTCTACAGGGCAACTTCATGCTGGGAACTTCCAGTCCTGTGTTTCTATTCTATATAAGGCGGAGTCTGCATTACGGCCCCTTTTTGTTCATTACTTCAGTGTTAATCTTAGCCCCTTCCTTACTGTGGCTTAAGCTGGAAGTCCTGGCCATATTTTGAACTGGGTTCAAATATATATTCTGCTATTCTAGGAGATCTCTGGAAATTGGTATACTTAGAGATTTCCCCAGATCCCCATCAGAATAATTGGTGCCTTCTTTACCCCATCACTGAAGGCCTTAGTAAACAGATACAGGGAACATTCTCAGTGAACATGTAAAACTGCTTCTCAAGAAAAGTTACAATGTTCCCTGATTGACTGTGGAGCCCACTGTCAGCCTTGGGCGGATGGGTGATGGAATGGGGTTTCCCCAATAGAACTACTTGCTGAAGGAATAGGAATGGGAATGGGAGCGAGGCCAGCCTGGTACCTGGGGCCTAGAGACTGCAGAACCTGATGCTGTCTCGACTGTATGCCACAGGGCGAGCGTCTCAGCCGCTTTGGACTCCGCACAGAAACCACAGGGAGTGTCACCTTCCGCTTGCACTGTCTGCAGCAGTCCAGGTGAGTGACCTGGCCCTCTACCTTGGGGCACCTTAGCCCTGAGGGCTGGGGAGCAACTGTGACCATATGATGCACCCTGCAGGGCCTTCATGGAATTGAGCTCCCTCCGGAAAAGGATGCAGAGTTTCCTGAACCATCTGGAGGGATTCAACCAGCAGAGCTGTGTTGAAAATGTGCTGGGTATGTTCCCCCCTCCCCTGGGTGGCTACATGGGGTCCGTATGGGCTGTGTTTCCCCCTGCACCCTGGCATCATGACCACCACATCTCTTTCCCTTGCAGAGGCCTTCTACCGAGCCCGGCGCCGTATGCAGGAGGCCCGAGAAAGCCTCCCCCAGAACTTAGTAATCCCCTCGGAAACTGTGGAGTCCTAGCTCACTGTAGCCCTGGCCCCAGGGCAAGAGGACAGGGTGAGGGATACCTGAGGCTGGTGTTCTTCCGCCTCTTCATCTTTCTTATAGAGACCATACTGGCCTGCTGAGAATGGGAAGACCTAGGAAATCCCTGGCTGGCCCCTCTGCCTAGCCTTCTGCTGGCTCTTTTCCCTGCCATGTCTGTGGCCCCATGTGGTCACCCTCTCCATACTTCAGCTACTGTATATGGGCCTCACAACAAGTCAGAGTTTCAGTTTGCAGAGAGTTTGGGGTACCTCATAATTAGTCTGCTATTGACATAGCCTCCTTTCTGGCTTGTCTCACAGTCTCAGTAGCAGAGGGCTACAGGGATCTGCTGTTCCACAGCCAGCAAAAATGGAGCCTTCCTTCTTCCAGGATAGAAGGAGGAAGGTGAGAGAAATCTTAACTCCCTGGCCTGTGGGTCCCAGCCTCCTCTTTACAGGGCAGCCTCATTCTATTGCTTGGGACTTGTTGAGGTTGATATATGTCTCACTTTTGGAGTAAATGTAGGCTAAGGGCAGTGCCCAGTCCTTTCTGTTAGCTGGGCATATCTTTTATTGTATTTTCTGTACATAAAAATGTTTTATATGACTGATACTCTGTCACCCTGTCTTTGCTCAGGGCTGTAGCACAGCTGAGGTTATTTTCTTACAGTCAGGTCCCCTAACACCTCTGCCCTTCTGCTTTGCTGCCTTTCCCTACTCCAGAGTGTTTCTTTGGGCTCTCTTAATTCAGCTCCAGGAGAGGCTTAGAGGTCAGTGTCAGCACAAGCATGGGACTGAGGCCATGCCCTCCCCAGCCCAACACAGAAACCACACCCCCTACCCTGAGCAATGCTTTATTGGTAGAAGCAGAGTGTGCTGCCCAACCTCAGGCTCAGGAGAGGATTGTGGGGTAGCTAGAGGCTGGGACTGTGTGGTCTCCCATTCAGGTGGGGGGCAGCTGGGAGGGCTAGGAAACAGAAGAAAGGAGCTGGTGGCTAGCAGTTCTTGCCTGCACCTCAGGGCTGCATGGCTTGGTTCACCTGGTGCTGATTCATAACCTAACACCTTAATAGCAGTTCTCAACCTGTGGGTTGCGACCCCTTGTAACAATGAAAATACATCCTGCATATCAGATATTTACATTACAATTCATAACAGTAGAAAAATTACAGTTAGGAAGTAGCAACGAAAATAATTTTATGGTTGGGGGTCACCATAACATGAGGAACTGTATAAAGGGATCACAGCATCAGGAAGGTTGAGAACCACTGCCTTAGAAGTTCCGAAGGCAAGTGAGTCCGTTGCTACTAGGAGCACCAGCTGTCACCCCCAGCCAATGAACCCAACTCAGAGGTGGAGCCAGCAAAGCACCAGCAGGATACAGCTGCTCCAGGGGGAGAAGGCAGCCTCATGGTTTTCCACTTCCCTTTGTCTCCAAGGCTTAGAGGTTGGGATAGACTCCTGCGGAAATAACAGACCTGGCTAAACGAGGAATTTGCTGGGTGTTCAGAAATGGAGCTGTTTTAGGGTATTGGTGACTAGGTTGAGGATAATTGGGCATTTCCTAATTGTCCTCCAAAGTCTATGGCCCCAGGATTCACTATCTGCCCCAAAGCAAGCACACTGGAAAGCCACAAGGAAAGAGACCCTTGCCCTAGTGACAAGTTCTGTTCTGCCTAGACACCTAAGAGGACTCAGCTCTCCTGCCCAGGGAAGGGTGTGGGGGCCTGCCCCAGCCCAGAGCTGCTAGAGAAGGCCTGCCCTTACCTGCAGAAGGTTTATGTGCCTCTCCAGGCTGACAGGTTCAACCTGGGGATAGAGCTGCAGCTCACAAAGCCCCGGGGATACTTCCTGGCCCTGAAGATGTTCTTTGAAACGGTGGTGATACCGGTATTGTCACACACAATTCGAGACAAGGAAATCTTCCTCAGGGCCTTACGCTGTCTTTTGGTGAAAACACCCCATTTCTGCCACCAGAACCTACCGGGTGGTCAAGAGAAGGAGGTGAACGTTGAGGAGAAATTATCTTATAATTACCATCTGTTTTGTGCCAGGTACTTTACATACATTATTTCATTCAGTTCTCACAGTCCCTGCAAGATAGGTATTATTCCCATTTTATAAATGAAGAAACAGGCTCAGTGGTAAAATAAATTGCTCACTATTAAGTGCACAGTAATTTAAGTGGCCCAGGCTGGATTTGGACTTAGGCAAATACCAAATCCAAATAAGGAGTCAGGTCTTGAATCAGACTTTTTGGGGGAAACCAGAGTTAGCCCTTTCCGCCATGTTTTCTGAGGTCCACTAGCCTGGAACAGTCTATCTCCTGGATTTAAGGTGACTCCAGCGCAGGTAATGCCAGCCTTGCCTGGGTCAGTGTGTCTTTCCCTTTGACCTAGCTGTCCAGGGAGGAGCTTCCTAGTCCTGTGAATTTGGAAGAAATTAAGCCCAAAGAGCACTTGTCCCATTGTTTTACTATCTGGAAATGCTGGTGTCTTTCTGCTCTGCCTCTGGTGCAGATGTCTGCTAGGGTAGGGTCACTCACCTGTCTCCATCTCGGGCTCTTCTGAACTGGTTCTCAAAAAGACAAGCCAGAAGAGGCCCCACTCGGGCCCCTCGCAGAAGAGGTTCCGCGATGGCCCCAATCCAGATATCAATATTGTCAGGCGTTCCGTACAGATGTAGGAACTTCCTTGCCAGATCCCGGTTTTTCAGCACCCGGCTAAGCTGTGCCAAATTCCGGGGCTGGGAAAGCCCACAGAAGCGCCTCCAAGCATTGTACCCTGAGGGGAAAAGGGGAGAAGCACCTTTAGTGTAGCTGACCTGTTCTCTCCACAAGTCCTCTGAGAAAAACCTGTGGCCAGTCAATATTGGGCAGAACAAAAAGGTCCCTACTAGCAAAAGAAGCCCTGAACCTTCCAAAGACCAGATTGCTGTCCTCCAAAATGTGAGTAGACAACCATGCTTTGTGTACATCAGACTGTGTACGTCGGACTGAGTGTGTCCTAATGTAAGAAGGACAACAGGAGGAAGTCCTACTCCCCACATGGCCAAGGTCACCTGGGGCAGATGAGGCATCAAGTTCTGTCGAGAAGGTGGTGGAAGGTAGGAAGGAAGAGCAAGGCAGTGGCCTCAGCCTGCCTTTAGTAGTTTGAATGGGAAAAAGAAAGAAATTGGGATAGGCATAGGGGCCCATGCCTATAGACCCAGCACTTTGGGAGGCTGAGGCAGGCAGATTGCTTCAGGCCACAACTTCAGAACCAGCCTGGGCAACATACCCAGACCCTGTCTCTAGAATAAATGAATGAATGGATGAGAAATGTGAAATTTGCTATTTCCTACTTATGTGACCTTGGGCAAATTACTAGCTGTTTCTGATCTTATTTTCTTATTTATAAAATGGCTGTAATAGCTCCTTTTCAAGGTCACGGGGAGGACAAAATATGTTGTATACCTGAACGTGCCTACATTTTTGGCTTTCCTAGGATAAAGTCTTTTGTACCCTTACCAAACAGCTAATACAAACTTAACTATATACTACCTGTTCCCTGCCTCTGGGTCTCTGGGCCTTCCTCCACTTAGAGCAAGGAGTGTTACTGTAGCCCCAGAATTTTAGCTTTCCTCCTTAGAACTTGCCAGGGCTTTGGGGAATAGAGCAGTTCTTCCCTGCCTTTTAAATCTGCTTTTCTCTACTTGGAAAGAACTGATCTCCATTTTCAGGTCCTGTGCCCAAGTCCTGGTCCTGTGGTGAACCTAAAGCTAGAGACCCTACAGCAGATGGGGAAAACTTGGCAGGATGGCAGACAGGTGTGCTCAAAGTGCTTTGCATGTTTCTGTACCACTGCGCATCCTGGAGACCTGTGGTCCCCAACCCCAGTAGTGGTCCATGGCCTGTTAGGAACTGGGCTGCCTGGCAGGAGGCGAGCCGTGGGCAAGAGGTGAGCTCTGCCTTCTATCACATCAGTGGCAGCATTCAGTTCTCATAGGGGCTCACACCATTTTGTACAACATGCATGCGAGGGATCTGGGTTGAGCACACCTTATGAGAATCTAATGCCTGATGATCTGAGGTGGAGTGGAGACCATGATGCTGGTGCTGGGGAGTAGTGGCAGCATGTACAGATTGCCATTATAGCAAAGGTTTGATGCACAGAGACCATAGCAAATCCATTGCTTGCAGACTTGTTTCAAAACCATTTCCCACCCCACTCTGGTCCATGGAGAACTTGTCTTTCATGAAACAGGTCTGTGGTGCCAAAAAGTTTTGGGGACCACTGCTGTAGACAGTCCCAGTCAGAAAGGAGGCACCAGGGGTCTTCCCTGAACCCCTTGAGCAGCCCTGGCCTGAAGCTAGGAGGAGAGTCAGGCAGCCCTCTCACCTGGAAGGCCATGATCCCGGCTGCGTTGCATGTTGAGAGCCGCCAGGTCCAGCCCGATCCTCCTCACTTGCCGAAACAGCCGTTCCCGGAGCTCATCCACTAACATGGAGTCTTGACGGTTCAGCTTGGCAGGCGTGGCCATGAGGCCTCTGAGGATGGGGTCAATGCCACCTGGTGGTAGGGAATGTGAGCTGCACAGATTGGACCAGCCTCAGGGAATGAGTCATCACATGGTGCCAAGCTAGCTCAGTGCTGGACCAGCCAGTCACTTAAAATCTATAATGTTTGTCAGGCAGCAAGGCCCATGGGACATGAAAGAGCTGAAGCTGGGAGGGAAAGGGGTCATTCCACTTCTTAAAGAGTGAAAGGTAAAGGTGAGCTCCTTGCTGGTCTGACACCTGACTCTGCCCCTTTGAGAATCCTAGGGGATGTGCAGCCTGTGACTGAGCATCCTGCCTTGTTCCCTCTGTCCCAGAGAGATACTCCTGGTGGCCTCAGAAGCAGCCTGGCCACCTAGCAGTGAGCCCAGCCCTCCTGGGAGAGGGCATGCTCCCCGCCCTCACCCTCATTTGCCTCTGAAAAACCTGGTCACCTTCATACACAATTCGCCAGCTGGCAAAGAAGGCAGAGCTAAGTGGGACAAGTGAGTTGGGTGCCGAGGCCCGGTATTGGCTATTCAAGCGGTACATGAAAGGCTGGAGCATGGTGTGGCCAAAGCGGAAGGCCAGAGTGAAGACATTGGCCACACGCGGGTCCACATTGGAACAGTACCCCTTGTAGGTCCCCAGGGTTCTCCTGGCCCGGGCCTTGCCCAGAACTAGAGGCAGAAAGTCCCGGTAGGTGATAATCTGAAAGAGAAGACAGGAGGAGCATTACCCCAGTGGCTGCACATCCCACACGCCTGCCTTTCTGAAGGACTACTCAGATCTGTAGTCATCATGCCAAATGTGACAATGTTAATTTTGCTTTGGTAGGGGGAGATACTGAAGCCCAGAGAGGCTGAGTGACATGAATAGGGTCACCCAGTGAGTTAGTAGCAGAATTGGAAGTAGGCGTCATGTGTCAGGCTCGCTCCTCAGTCACCCAGACCCAGCTTCCCCAAGGATGTGTTAAGGAAAGTGAGAGCCACTTCCTCAGATGGCTTCTTCAGGGTGACCATGAAGTTTGTGTGCGATTTGAAATTGCGCACTATCTTAAATTGCACATGAACTTTATGGACACCCTGTTCATGGCGGGCTGTCTTGTGGGGGATGCTGGGACCTGGGCCTCTCTACCTGAACCATGGCCCCCACAATCTTCCGAGCCTCATTGTACAGCTTGTCCCCAGTCCACCGGGGGTTCAGGCGTCTCAGCTCAGTGGCCAGCCGGTTGTGTTCTCGCATAAAGAGGGTGTGCATCGCTGCCAGTTTGGGAGTTTCCGTAGATCGGGAGTCACCTTGAAAACCCCAAGTTCAGAGTTGCCACAGCTTTTCCCAGAGAAACGTCTTTCTGCTAGGGTGGACAGAGTCTAGGGACTGGAGAAATGCGGTGGTTTCCAGCCCTAGCTGCCCTCCCGTCCCTTCAGCTGTGCTGCGAGCTCCTTATTTAACTGCCACCCTCCTCCCCCAACATGATAAGCCAAGAGAGGAAGGGCAATGGGGTCTTAGTGGCTGGAGCAGGTTTGGGCTAGGTGGGAAAACAGGGCAGCTGCTAGTCTCAGGAAGGGAAATCTCTGCCTAAGACGACAGATCCACAGCCTGGACCAGCTATGGTCGAGGGACCTGGTGACTCTTGGGACTGTTAGCCTGCCTGTTCCATGCACCATATCCATCTGCATGTTCTCAACCAAAGGCTCCACCTTCTCTTATCACTGGATGAGCTATCAAGCATCTCTACCCAGGGAGCCAGAGGGAAAGGGAAAGAGAGGGAGGGCCAGGCAGAGCCCTGCTCCTGCACCAGACCTCCTACAGGCAGGGAAGGAAAGTTAAGTTCAGTCCTTTGCTTGCTTTTAACCAAGCCCTTTTGCACATGGTCTTATTTGGGCTACTCTTCAGCAGACCTGTCATGAAGGTATATGCTGCTGTTCCCACTGCCATCCTTAGAAAGATGGACTGGAGCTGATTCTCTGTGAGGAAAGCAGTGGAAGAGAAGGGACAGAGCAGAGACCTGGGAACTGCGCTGACTTGAGTTCCTACAGGGACTCTGCCATTTGAAACTTTGCACTGTGAGCACATTATTCATCTACCCGGAGTCTCAGTTCTATCTGTAAAATGAGGATGATATTTGCCTCCTTTTAGGGTTGCTGTAAGGTTTAGAGGGGACACGTTTAAATATCTTAACCAGAAATGATTGCCATTATTATTATAACTATGTACGTGCAGGGAAAGACCCCGAGGAGAACTCAAATTATACATCCAAAAGAAGATACTGGCAACAGTGTCTGGCAACAGTGAGTGCCTGTGGAGGTAGGGGGAGAGGACTAAGGAAATTTAGCCCAGAGAAGGAAAAAATACAGATAAGTAAAGGGGCAATTGCTACGTAAGAGAGAGACCCTCTTCTCTGAGGGTCATGAAACAGGACTAAGGACAATAGGTGGATATTGGATCAAAATGAGGGAGACTTTCCAAAAATCTGGAGCCATATAGGTGGTAAGTCCCTTCTTGCTGGAGATGGTCAGTGATGTCGGCCACACCCAGGGCGTTTGCAAAATCCTTCCCTATACTGGTTCTGTGACAACTATGCACAGACCTGTGCCTGTGGTGTGCCTGATACTGAGGTCCCAGCCAGGTGCCCTCCCTGCATCCACTGCGCCTTCCCAATCTGGAATGCAGGGATGGCTGTTTGCTGAGAAGACACCACCTTTCCCCTAGTCTGACCTGCCAGGAAGCAGGGGATGCGTGCAGAGCGGTTGGTGAGGAGACAGGGGTCATCGTGCAAGTTGTCGAAGGGCAGCAGGGCCCGGCCGTTGTCACGGAAACGCTGGTTGACAGCCAGCAGCCCTAGGTAGTTGGTATTGTTGCGGAGCCGCTGGGCCAGAGAGACCTCGCTGCCGTACACCATGCTGGCGTCCACGAAGGAGGTGAGCGCATTGATCTGGTTTCGGACTTTGTTCCTGCTTTGGGGGCACGAGGGTGCCGAGCGGAAGAAGGGGATGCAGTCACGTTGGTCTTTGATGCGGGGATCATTGGGTGGGATCTGAAATGGGAGAGGGGTCAGTGACGCTGGGACCCCTCCAATGCAGTCCCCACTCCACTTGGTCACCCCTGCCTCCCTGAAAACCTCGCTTAGAACTTCTCTCCTCCAGGGAGCCCTCCTCAACTCGTCCAGACTGGTGCAGCTCACTACCTCAGTCTGAGCGTGTTGGCACTTTGTATCATTGGGTCATCAAAGATTAGAAATGAATAAGGCTTTTGAAACAATCCAGATCCTCATTTTACAGGTGGGGAGACAGTCTCAGAGAGGGGAAGTGACAACTAGTGCGGGAAAGAGGTAACATAACTGACATTTGGGACTGAGCTCCTTTAATTCTGTTCAGTTTGAGACTATGAAGGTCAGAAACCCAGTCAAGGTCTGCAGGAGGGTGGTAGTTCAGTGAACATACATGCACATGCACACACACACAGAATTAAGTAACTCTAAATTGAAGTGGCATTTGCTATGCTTGATGTAAAAGCCAAATGCTAACGGTGTAATAGGAAGATCTGGGAAGGCTCCCCAGAGGAGGTGTCCCTGAGCCAGGGCTTCAAGAGTGAATAGGGTGACTACATTCAGGGGCCAGCCAGGGACAAGTCATCCCTCCTGAATGTTGCCCACCCGTTATGAGAATGTGCGTGTGTATGTTCCCCGATGGCCCCAGCAGAGACTTTGCTTGCTGAATTTCATCATTTCTTCTTCCCCAGTGGCCCACACCACCCTTGCCTTCCAGCCCACAGGCTAGGACCCTGCTGACATCCCAAGGCCCAGAGTTGGGAGAGCTGCAGGGCCCTTGAAGGTTTCCCCAAGTAGAGGCCCAGAGGCTCCCCCTGTTGGAATCAGACCTGTGAGCCAAGGCTGGTCTCCAGTGCTGCCCTCCCCCTCAGCCCTCAGATCGCACAGCCCCTGAGCCTGTGCCAGGCTATTTTTATGTTTCTGTCTTATGCCTCAGCTCCACAGACAGCTCCTTAAGGACATAGTTTCAGTATTCCTGACCCCCCTCCCCACCAGCCCTCTGCCTGGGAAAGGGAGACTGGAAGACTGGCCGACTGTACCTTGATGGGAAAGCAGGGGGGCACCTGGGCACAGGTTTTCTCACAGTCAACACCTGCAGTGAAGGCCACTCTGGCCGGGGACTCTGGGGAGAAGTCCAGATCGTGGTCGATGAACTGGCCCCACTGCATGAACATGAGGGACCGGCCCCGATCAGAGGTCAGCCTTTCGGAGGGGAAACGCACGATCTGGTTGGACACAGCCCGGACCTGGTGGGGGAAAATAAATGTTGGGGTGAGGGAAGCATGAGCTTCTAGCCCCTCAAGGTGTTAGAGCCAACACAGGACTCAGAGCTGTCCCTGCTGGAGGTGACAGTCTCTCATCCTCTTCTGCACTCCCATCCTCTTTCCCCCTTTTTCCCTGGAGATGAAGACACCTCTGTTGTTGCTGTCACTCTGGAAGGATGATCTCTGAGGTAGCCCCCAAGGATTCCAGCAGTAAAGAGAAGGAAAGAGCCCATGTTGGCTGGCTCAGGCCTCAGCAGAGGGGTCAACAGATCTAACTGGTAGATCAATTCATAGACCAATAGGTAACCAGATGATAGTACCTAATTCTTAGATGGGGTGGTTGTGAGGTAATGGATAATAAATACAGAGAGAACTAGATGGATGAATAGAAGAAAAATGAATAGATGTTGACAGATGAGGGGGTGATAGATTGCTATATTGACATATGTATAGAAAATTGATGAGTCAATAAATGTGAAGTAATATTGACAAATAGGTAGAACCAGGTTAACCATTATAGATAGCTCTTTACATTTAGCGGGACACTTTGACACTAATTCTCTCAGACAGAAATAACTCCCAATGCCATAAAACTAGCATTAATACATCACATCCTGTATAACTGCATATACCAAGTATTTTACTTAATATTCATACTAGCTCCCTGAGGTAGGTTTTACTACTACTTTATAGATGAGGAAACAGACTCAGAAACTTTTATTTGCCCAAAGTCACCTAGCTGGTCAGTGAGGGAGCCCGGGTTTGAGCCCTGTCTGGCCAACCTTGGACCATGTTTCACTCCCAAACCCTCAGCCCCCACTCACAAGAGGGAGGATGAAGCCATTGCGCCTCTTGGAAGGTGTCCAGCCAAAGGGGAGCGATAGCCCATCCTCGTACCTGGCGGGCAGCCAGCGGGCAAAGGCCTGATTGGAGGCCCCCAGCCAGGGTATCTTCCTGTAGATGCAAGTGGGTCGGGGAGAGCAGGGCTCAGCATGGAGGGAGAGGGAAGTGGGGGAAGGGAGGTGTCCCCGAGTCAGTGCAGTCCCTGGCACCCACTTGTTGTTGCATCTCCCAGTGATGGTGCGGTACTTGTCACTGCACTTCTCAGCCTGGTCCTGGAGGGCACAGCCACTGGCCTGAGACAGCAGCCACAGCTGGGGTTCTGTTAGTACATCTGGGAGGAGAGCAGGTGAGCAGGCTGGGGCTGGCCTGTTCCATACCTCCCATCCCTGTACCTCTCTCCTTCCAGTGCCCCATGGCTGTGCCCCTGCCTCCCCCTTCCCAGCTTCCTTCTACTCCCAGGCCAGGGCAGGCCCTGAGGCTCAGTAGGAGCAGAGTACCGGTGACATTGAAGGGTCTGGAATGCTGGCGTTGTAGCTTCTCTTCCAGCAGCCCCAAGGCCACGTGCATATAATCTGCAGCCCGAACGACTTTCCTGGTGGTCATTACTGGTTGCTTGAAGTAGGACAGGAGGTCCATGGGGCTGGCCAAGCCACTGCGAAGACGCTGCTGGATGCTGCTCAGGAGAGGAACGGGGGCTAGAGAGAGGACGCAGACCTCCCAGCAGAGCCCCGGCTGGTGGACAGGCAGGATGGGGAGACCAGACAGAAGGATAGGTGGAAGGAAGGCCCTCTACCAACAGTTGAGGGGCCCAGGGCGGGTGTGAGGGAGATTACCTTGGCTGGAACCCATCTTCCCTCATTGGCCCTCCCAGGCCCACGCAGCCCCCAGACCCAGGCCTACCTCCTCTGGGTCTGATTATAGGCATTATCCACCAGCAACTTGGCCTCTGCTATGCAGTCCCGAAGGACTGAAGTGTCCACTGTACTGGGGGAGGCTGCTCAAAGAGGATGGGGACTCAGGGTGCAGGGGAGCCACAAGACCCCCTCCCAGACCCAAGTGCTTGTTCTCCATTCTCTTTTCCTTAGACCCACCCTCCTCCTCATCTGTCTAAGGCAGCAGTTCTCAACCTGTGGGTTGCAAACCACAGGAACTGTATTAAAGGGCCACAGCATTAGGAAGGTTGAGAACCACTGGTCTATGGGCTGTTACCTGGGGCAGTGCCCTCACAGGGCAGGGCGAGGTTGAGTGTGGCTAGGACCCCTGTCAGGGTCAGGAGAAGCTGCGTTCCTGCCATGAGACCTCGCCAGCTGGAAAGGCAAGCAACACTTCTAGCCTGCATAGAGGACCCTAGCTGACCTTTTACCTGCTCTTCTGAGGAAGTAGCAGGGAAGGGACATTTATAGCCCATCTTTAGGACCTGGAGGGCAGCTTTGGGCCCCAGAAGCCCAGCCTCTTGGGTGGGGCTCTGGAACTTCCCTTTGGTTCTGGGGCGGGGGGTGTGTGGGGGTTATGAAACTGAAATGCCCACCCCACCACTTGCTAGCCTAGAGATATTCTTCACTCCAATGCCTGCACCCCATCCCCTCCTTCTACTACTGAGTCCACTGATAATATTTCTCCCAGGGCAGCACCTGGGTGAGTATTTGCTGAGTGACTGAGGAGCAGTGTGTCTCGGAAGGTGGTTGGGCCCAGCCCTGCCACCAACTAGCTGCATGGCCCTTTTCCTCTCCAGGCCTCAGTTACCACATCCCAGATGATAGGAAAGGCTCCTCTCCTCCCCTGACAGGGCAGAACGTGGGTCTGCCTTCCTGCCATGTCCCTGCATGCAGAGCACAAGGCCTGGCACTTAGTAGGTGCTCAGTGTTGTTAAATGAATGAATGCTGTGTGATCAGGGACTTGGCCCCGCCTCTTACACCTCCGCCACCAGTGCCCTGGGAGAGGGAGAGAGTGAGGCTGTGGCTGTGGCTGATGCAGGGCCGGGCAGTGAAATGCCTCATGGGCCCATCTGGGGACACAGTAATCTGTCAGGGGTAAAACACCCCACAGAGCAAGCTGCCAGGCAGCCGGGGCCTCCACAAAAGTTTGTTTCCAGGAGTTGATTCTCAGTGTGTCAGTAGTAGGTTTACTCTGAGAAGCAGGTTTAAACCTTGAGTTCCTATTGGGCTTGATCAGGGGTCACTTCTTTGCTGCAGTGATTCATACTGACCTGGGGTTTGTCAGGCTCTGTCACTAGCTGTGTGACCTTGGGTGCACCTCTATTTCTACATCTAGCCAGCCTCCCCACAGCGCCCTCCTCTCCCACAAAACACCATGCCTTTCCTCCTGTGGTTCTCTCCTTGGAATAGTCCTGGCTTATCCTTTGCCCCTGACCCAACCTGGCCTGCCTGGAAAGCACAGGCTCAGCTCTGAGGCTTTAGAATTGTCATCACTGTGTCCACAGCCCCCCCCCCGCCACTGCCATGTATCTGCATCAGGTGGGCATGTCCGTTCCTTCCTCAGTGCAGACCCTGTACCTGCCAGGCTCCCAGCACATCCAGTGCCAGTGTCCTTGCCTTGTCCCCCTCTTCCAGGCCCTACCCCCCTGCAGCCCCCTCTCCCACAGCAGTGCCAACAGCATGACAGTTACTCTTGAAACAGCCACTTTGCTGGGCAACCCCTTTCACAAGCTCCAGCTGATGCCTGGGCCCTCCTGATTTTATCTTCAGTGAAGGGCCCTCTCCTCTGGCAAGGGAGGCACCATATAGGGGGTGAACATGCACAGGGTTCCCTGCTGCTGCCCCACTGCGTGACTTTGGACAAGTCACCCCACCTCTTGGACCTCAATTTTCAGCCTGTGAGATAAGAAGAGTGGTCCCCGTGAGGGAGGGAATTTTCCAAAATTGCAGAGTGCCCTTCAGCTTTCCTACCCTCCCCTGCCCTCAGGGAGCCAGAGGCCTCCATGTTGGAGCCAGTGGTGTCTGTAACCCAGGCTGCCCTCCTGTCAGGGTCCCTGGCACTCCGAGTGACTGCTGCTGTCCTCACAAAGGAGACTTTCATTATTCGGCAGTAGTGAGCTAGGTAAGGGTTTTGCCGCAGTCATGGGCTGCTGTGGGTTACTGAGATAAGCCTGAGACAGAACCTTCAGCTCCAGACCCACCCCTGCCCTGTTGGCCAATCTCTGGGGGATTCTGGCCTTCAACTGACTGCTCAGCATGGTGCTGAGAGGCAAGCAGGTGGGGCCCTGCACACCCAGGCTGTGGAGGGCAGATTCCTGGAAACACTGCTGGGCTGGCAGGTGGAGGTCCAGGCCAGGAGACTGAGGAGAGGCCAAGCCTGCTGCTGGCTGCCCCTGGGCTCCAACCACCTTTGCCCTCCAGTGCAAACCCCATGCTTTTGTGGGCTTTCAGGCAACTCCAGGTTCTGCAGAAAGCTTCTCCTTCCTCTGGGCTCCCTCTGGGAAGCCATTTCTGATCTCCACTCCCCAAACTAGACTAGGTCCCTAAGTCATGCATTTAGCATGCAGGGGCTCTTTGGCCTGGGCCCCAACCCCAGCACCAGAGTCCTCTCAGGCAAGCTGTTTGACCTCTGAGCCCACCTCCCCCATTTCCTATGGAGGTGGGCATCACTAAGCCACCTTGTAGTCACCATGCTTGGCACTCAGCAGGCAGTCAACAGTGATGTTGGCTAAACCTTCTTCCTCTGCCCTGTTCTTGCTTCCTTTATCCAGCTGACTGGGCTCTGAGCTTCTGGAGTGGGAAAGGGCTGTTCATGACGCTCCCAGCCCATCTAGGGTCATAGTCTATGAGGTTTATGCACAATATCCCTCCAGCTGCAGCCTAGGGAGCCCCAAATCCTTCCACAGCTTCTCAGTCCCTGCAGGACCCCTCCCCCGCCCCCTCACTCCTACTCACCACCCACCGCTCTCTAGCCATGACCCCCCGAAGGATCCTGCATCCTCCTGCACCATGTTCCCCTCACCTCTGGGTCCTTGCACATGTCCATTTGCCTGATTAACTTCTACTCATCTCTCCAGCCAGGCTGAGCCATTCCCTCCTCCAGAAGCCTTCCCTCATCCCTTTTCTGTCTTCTCCCCAAATATGATCAAAGTTAGTGCCCCCATTTCATGTCTGCAGGGAGCCACAAGCTGATGCTTCACATTGTGCTTTCCCAATGTGCACTGTCGCCATACCCATCTGCTGGACTGGCCTTTTGGGGGACCCCAGGCCTGATTTTTGTTTATAGCTATGTGCCCATCACCCAGCACAGGACTGGGCCCAGGGTCAGTGCTTAGGAATGTGTGTGGGACCTGAGTAAACCGGTGAATCTGATAATAAAGCGAATCAGGGCCTGGCTTACCTCTATGAGTCTTCGCATCCTTTTTTGCCCTGGAGAGGAAGACACGTCTCCTCCCCTTCCCAAATCCTCTTCCTTCTCCAGATGATAGTTCAGCTACTCTCAGGTTCTTGACCCCAATAAACTGGGGAATGGGTGGGACAGGCATCAGAGGGACCTTGGAAGTGACTTAGGGAACAGCCTAAGCACAGGCAATAGGTCCCATGGCCACCCCACCCCTGTGAAAGGCTCAGAGGGCAGGAGACAGAGCTGCAGTGTTTGGAGCAAGTGTTGCCCAAGGGGCATGAGGATGGAAGTCCACTGAGCATGGAGGCCACATGCTCAGGGGCTCCTGGCTTGGGCCCCAACTCCACAGGGCTGAATGTTAGGGAAGCTCAGCTCCCTGCAAGGCCTGTGCCAGCTCTTCCCTCATGAGCACAGCCCAGAACCTGCCACCAGGGAGGAGCCAGTCTCCTTATAGGCCTGGGGCCTGGTTGAACCTCAGAGATTGGGGGGCACGTGGGAGAGCGCTTCCTTTGAAGGGGAAATGGGCAAAATACACATCCAAGACTGAGCCACATAGGAGGAAAAGTTTGTAATGAGACCCATCGAGAAGAACATTCTTGTAGTTACAGGAAGGGATGGGGCCGCCCAGAATCTGAGAATGAGGGGGCCAGAGAAGGTGAGGGCATCCTTAGGGAATAGGGTCCTGAGAGGCCAGCACCTCAGCTGCTCCTCCTCCTTCCCTGGTGGCTGCGGGAGTCAGGCTTTGGGGAATGTGGCATCACCAGTACCATAAGCATCCTGTCCCCTCTGCTGACTGGCCTTGTCCCCCCCATTCAGCTCCCCCTAAAGGGGCTGGCATGATCTGGCTCCTGGCACCACCCAGCTCCAGCACCCCATCTCTTCTCTTTCTCTTCGTCTGCACTTAAAACCCACTGGGGTTTCATCTCCTGAAGTGGGCCTATCACCTTCCTGCTTTGGGTCTCAATGATTAAGGATCTTCCCTCTTGTGCCCGGCCAACTCTTACTGGTTTTCCAGGTTTTACCCACAGGAGCGTCTCCTGTCTCACGTCCACAGGCCATGACTTGGTTGGCTGGCTCGTCCTATTCCTCACTCTCATAGCTCCTTTCCTAGAACTTAACGTCATTATAATCATACCTGTGATTCTATGGTTGGATTTGATTAAGCTCCAGTCCCTAGAGGTCTGTGAGAGCCATGCAGAAAAAGACATCTGCTTGTTTTGCTGCCCACTGTAGCCTCAACACCTAACACACTGCTGGGCTAGGACTTAATAAGTATTCGTGGAATGGATGTGTTTGCCATGAACTTGCCTGTCACAGCTCTTAAGTCAGGGAATGGATTTGTACCTGTATATCTGTTAGGATCTGGTGCCTTTTATCAGGAACATTTGTCCTTGGACCGGGGCAACCTGGGTCAGTGGACATGCCAGGCTGATGTCCAGACTCTGAACAGTGATGGAGACTTCCCTCCTGGGCATCTTTCAGCTGCAATACCCAAGAACCTTCCCTCCCTCCCCTTTCTGGCCAGCTTGAAACCTCAAGCTTCTGCAACCACTTTCACAAGAACCGTCCATCAACTAGGCTGCTGGCCACAGGCCTGATTAGATCTCTTTATCGTCTTAGCTCCAACAGCCCTCATTGAGACAGCAGGGGCAGAATAGGGCTCAGGGCCTGGTGGGCCTGCTTCTGCTCTCTGGGGTTCCTGCGAAAGAGGTCCTTGGCCCTGTTCTCATGATGGGAACTCAGGGTGTGCAGGAAGAAGAGGGGTGGCTCAGACTGCAGCAGCTCCACACTGTGCCAGAGGCCAGGGTGGCCAGGAGTTTGTGCACAAGTTTACATGTGTATATGCACATGTGTATGTGTGCGCTCCGGAGTCAAGGATTCCCCTCCTGAGGTAGGCAGCTCTCCATCGTCTGCCTTTAGCAAGGCTGGAGAAAATTCAGTTTGGGGCCTCAGAGACCTGCGTGGGGGTCTGGCACCAAC